GGGTCCCCTGTACCCCAGCCACAGGAGGGAACAATCTGCCCTGCTCCCTCCACAGCCACCGTCCAGGCGGTGCCATCACCCGTCGCAAGGGGAAACCAAGGGACAGGCATTGGTGCGCCTCAAAGCACTGGGGGAACCAGTGGCAGCACCGGGATGGGACCCAGCCATCCCTGCTGCTGCTCTGGCCACCTGACAGCGTCCCGTCACATCCCCTCTGCCGGGATGGATACCCCCGGATCGCCCTGTGGTGGGACATGGAGAGGACACGGAGGACAAGCTCTGCCCCACCACGTCCCCCGCACATGGCACCACTCCTCACCTCCAGCTGCGTCATCTTCTCACCGGGGCCAAACCCATCCCACAGGTCTCGCTCATGGGTCTCATCAGGTACCAAAGGAAAGGAACCGAAAAACAGACGGTACACCTGCGCCAGGGACGGGAGCAGGGCTGCCGAGCGCGCCGGGAGCTGTTTGCCCAGCAATGCCCCGGCATGGGGTGGCAAGGGCAGGATGAGTCCTGGCCAGGTGCCCACTGACTCCCACCCTGTGGGTCTGGTGGTCAGGGCGTGCCCATTCGCTGGGGCAGTGCGGACCCCTGCAAAGCCCAGCCCTGCAGCACTGTGCGGTCACCCACCTCCTGTGGGTCACCACCCACCTCCTGCAGGTCACCACCCACCTCCCGCAGGTCAACGCTGGAGCCCAGGAGCAGCTCGGCCGTGTTGTTGGGGAGGGACAGGTTCTGTGTCAGGAAGCGGTGCAGCTCGCCCCGGTCCTTGGCCGCCCACGCCAGCGTGAAGCCGGATCCTGGCAAGGAGCAAGGCAGGGGGGTCAGAGCAGCCCGCCAGTGTCGGGGACATGGCACGGCCCCACGCAGGGACATATCACAGCTGGCCCTGCCTGGCACGCAGTGATGTGGGACAATGGCGGGGCACTGCCACACGCCATCACATCGCTGAGCGCCTGGCGGGTGGGCATCTTCATCCCTCCCTGCGCAGGCAGCGGTGGGCCAGGCAGGGCACACCCTACCTGCTCGGTTGCTGAAGTGGGTCTCCATGGAGCTGGGCTCGCTGCTGCTGAGTGCCTCCAGGCGCCGGCGCAGCGACTCCAGCTCCTCCTCCAGCCCTGGGTGCTGTGGGTCGAAGAGGCTGCTCTGTTCCACCGCTTCACTGAGGTGCTCCAGGAGCTGTGTCACCCTGTGAGAGCCCAGCACCGCCGCGGCTTCAGGGACAAGAGGGATGGGGACACCCTCCACAGAGCCCTGGGGGGGGGACAAGCCCCTCGGGTGCACAGGGCAGCAGCACTGCCTGCCACAGGGCACTGCCGCCCCATGAGCTGCCCTTGCCTGCGCACCGAATCCACCGTGCCAGGGGCGCAGAGGAGAGCCCCAGTGCCTCGAGGTGTCCGCAGGGGCCACCTCCATCCTCCTCCCAGCACCAGGCACCCAGGAGCCCATGAAGAAACGGGCTGAGATGTCCCCCGCACCCCGGGGACATGGCGCTCTGCACCCAAGCACTTTGGGGGACAGGGGCTTGTGCCTTGTAGCTGGTGGGTCAGTGCCAGCATGGGAAGGGGTAGGCTGTGAGCAGGAGTGTGCAGGAGCATGCGGGGCGGGAGGAGGAAGCACGCAGCGAGGGCATGACTCACGTAGAGTTGGAGTACTGCAGGAAGCCAAACTCGTCGCGCTGGCCGTCGGGGCACAGGGACTGCATGACGGGCAGGATCCCAGCTGAGGTGAGTGGGGCCGCCGTGTAGAAAGCTGGAGCCAGCGAGAGAGCGCAGAAGAGGCCGGGGAAGGTGCGGACAGGGAGGGAGGAGAGGCGGGGGGGGGCGGGGGGCCACCAGAGAGACAGGCACTCAGTTCAGAGAAGCACGCACTGGGCCCTGGGAGCCCCGCAGGAGGTTCGCAGCCAAGGTCAGAAGTCTGCAGGTTTCCCACCAAGGCTGTCCCTGGCTGGTGGCCCCCTGGGGCTGGGGGCAGCTCCTGCCACCCTGGCTCCTGCCCTCTTGCCCCTGCCTGCTCCCGCCCGGGTGACCGGTCCCTCCCGCCCCAGTACAATGCCGACTTCTGCCACTTGCCCCCAGGAATGCTGCCAACCTCCCCCGGTCTTTTGGCCCCTCTTGTTAGTAATCTCAGAGGCACCGCTGGATCTCCAGAGGAAGAGGAGGAGGAGGAGGAAGAATACAACAGGGAAAGTAGAGTTGTCACCCACAGCTCCCCGAGTCCCTGGCCTCCCCCCTGCCCGGCTGCCCCGACGTGCGGCTGCTGGAGGTGGGTGAAAATGGAGACTCGGTGGGGGGGAGATGGAAGAAATGAGGAGCAGCAAGGGGATGGCAAACATTCCCCCCCTCCACCGGCGCTGAGCCATCGTCCCTATCAGGGTCTTTCCATGTCCTTCCCCGGGGCAGGGCAGGCCCAGAAGTGCGCTGCCCAAAGAGGACCAGAGGTTGTCACTGGGCAGCGCCGAGCAGGGACCCTGCTCTCACCACCCCGGCTGGTGACCCCGTGGTTAGAGGCGGGTCAGTGCTGTTAGCACGGCCGTGATGGGCAGGGGCTGGTGAAGATGGGCTTCTGGCAGGGACAGCCCGGGGCAGGGTGGGGCGTAGCATGGGACGGGCTAGCAGCCTGCTGGGGTGGCGGGACAGATGGCGGTGGCCATGCCACGCTTTGGTGACAAAGCCAGCGCATGGGTGGCATCTTGCTGGCCTCCAGGCTCCTAGTAGTGCCACATCCCAGCTTGTCCCAGCTGCAAGGGGCCAGGACAGGGACACGGTGATGGTGCAGGGGTGGGAGCCATCTCCAGCCCCTTGGGGACCAGCCCGGGGGGAGCACAGGCCACCACATGGGTGCCAGCACCCAGCAGGGTCTGCCCCAGGAGGGAGGCAAGAAGAAGGGATAGGACAAGCCTCCACCTGGGCTGGAGAGCCCTCTGCAGCCAGCGGCCCCAGCACCTGGGGAACCCAGCACCACCAACCCGGTGGGGACACCACCAACTCAGCAGGGACACCACCACGGGCCGGTCCTGGCTGGGCAGCCCCCGGGGAGGAGCAGGAGGGGGCCACGCTGCGCTGCCCAAGCTCATCTTCACCAGCCACGGAGGAAGACGACGGGGTTACAGATGTGTGGATTAGGCCAGGGTGAGTTGATCCAAACCAGGCTCTTTCTCCCCAAAATACATAGCCAGCACAGGCAGGGGAAGGGGGGGAGGCGCCCACCCACCCCACCAACTTACAGACTGGCGCATGCAGTAGAGGCATGGAGGGCAGGCGGGCAGGGGAGATGGTGGGAAAGAAAAAGAAAACATGAGCAAAAAGAAAGAAAAACCAAACCAAAAAACCACACAACACAGAGCGCACGTCAGTGCCGGGGCAGGAACCAGGGCAGTGTCCACCACCGCCTGCAGCCGGACCCACGCTCACAGCTGGGCTCTCCCTCGCCGGTACACGCTGAAACACAGGCTTGGACCATCGTTACGCCAGGTCGCCGCCGGCTCCCAGCATTTCCCCCTGGCCCCACCGCGCCACCTGCGCAAGGGCACCCACTCGGGTGGGCATCCCACGGGGCGTCTAGTTGCCACACGGAGCCCTGGCGAGCCGGCAGATCCGTTCCGCCACCTCCTCCCAGCGGCACAGCCCACAGGCACCCACAGGCACCGGCCAGAGCTCCGGCTGCATATCTCCACGAGCCCGCAGCTCCAGTCCCATCAATTTGTCACCTTGCCAGGGCCCCAGAGCCCCCCATAGCCAGGCATGGGGCTCCACACAGTGCATTTCCCGCCTCCCAGCACCACAAGAAGCTGGGGAGCCCTTCCCAGCACCGCCTCGGCTGCTCCTCGAGCACTCGGGGGGACCGTGGCTGTTCCAGCACCATCCAGCTCCATCTCCCCCTTCCCCCCCCAAAATGTCCCTGCCAATGG